CCCCTTCCCCGAGGAGAGTCGTAGCGGTTTGAAAAAAAAAAACGCAAACAGACATCCGGGGATGGCAGATTGTCGGTGCAACACTTAGGCACCTTAAATACTCACAGAGAGATTGAATTGGAGAAAAAGGAATGGAGGACGTCGGAGTGTGTGTACGTGCCATTCACCTCTTGCGGCGTCTTCCGCAATATCCGCTATATTCGTCAGGCTTCTCCATCCATCCATCCATCCATCCATCCATCAATATACATATATGTATATTGATATATAGATATATCGTGCGGGTATACATATATATATATATATATATGTGTGTATGTATATATTTTTTATTTATCTGCACGAGATAAGATGGAAGAGTGAGTGTGGGTGATCCTCAGTGTTGTGTTTCTTTTTCTTTGAGTTTTGCTTGGATTTTTCGTGTGTTTATTTACGCCCCGTCATCGACGCCGCGGCATCCTCCGCTCCTCTCGTTGCCGCTCCTCCGGCTTTTTGGGGGCTTCCATCGCACCTGAAGTGACTGTCAAGATAGAACGAGGGGGAACTGGGTGTCCCGTTATGTAAAATAACGCTAAGATGACTCCTCGTCTCCCCCGTGGCGTTGCGAAGGGGCTCTGGGTGAACAGCCAACCATTCTCCGCCGGCATTATCTTGTTAAACAATACGGACATGACATGTTTTTCTTTGCCCTACTTCAGCAATTGATGTGATCACAGTGCCATGTTTTCCCTGGTTTCCTTTTTTTTTTTNTTTTTTTTTTTTTTTTGCTTCCCCTCGCTTGTTATTTCTATTCGGAAGTCATTGGGTGTAAATAGAGACACACCAAGCACATACTTATTTGCACGCATATAAACGTTAGAGAACGTGGGTGGCTAGGAAGCGCGTTCCTGCTGCTCGCGTGCGTGCGTGTGGACTCTCCTGTAATATATACACGTGGAGAGAGTAAAGCAGACACGTGGATACAATAGATATACAAGTGGGTATTCCACTTCGGTTGCTGCGGCTCCGGATTCTGTATCCATAACATCAACAGTACGTACAGTCGTAACCACCATTAGCCATGAGTGGTCCAAAGGTGTTGCTACGGCGTGTGTTGCACATCAGCCCAACCAGCGTCGTCTTCACACCGAAGGACGGGGAGTCGCTGGACTTCCAAACAGTCAGTCAGGCGCCAACAGCACACCGCGGGCTGTTGCAGAATAACGGCATCATGGCGAAGGTTATGCTGTCGCTTTCACCCACTGTGGCGGAGGGTATTCGCACACGCGAAGACCGCCTGCGGATCTGGTGGTCGGTACTTCTTGGCAGTGGGCTCATTGAGGCCGACACGACGAGTGTGACGGTGCCCGCGACGATGAGCGACAGGATGTGGCCAATCATGGACGAGGACGCCTTTGTGAAGCACATGGCTATCGCCGAGCAACAGCTGAAGGACGAAGCTGTTCAGGAGTGTCCGTTCGTCGTCCCTGTGCTGTCGGTACACCGGTTTCAGCAGAAGGACCACGGCGTCAAGGGCACTCTGGGCGTGATATACATGCCTCATTGCAGGCAGGACCTTCAGGGGTGGAGCGAGGGGCAGCTGGCACAGCACCCCGTTCCCGAGGCGACGCTTGGCACGCTTCTAAATCACCTCGTGATCGGGCTTCTCGCGGTGCGCTCGGTGAGCAGAATATGTCCCCCGTATCTCAGCATGGAGGACGTCCTTGTTGGTGAGAACGGCAACGGCGATGGCGAGCCGACGTTCATGCTGAACGCCACGGAGTACCAGCTACGGCAGCTGCCAGACCGCGCCAATAGGCCGCTCAGCGCGTTTCCGTTCCTAGCGCCCGAGCTGGTGAGCCAGACGAGCAGGTCGCTCAGCCATCCGAAATACGATGTGTGGGCCCTCGGCATGGCGGTGTACCAGATTGCCTGTGGCATGCCCAGCAGTTTCAAGAGCAACTTGCGGTTGCGCCGCCAAGGGTCGGAGTGCAAGATCGAGCTGCCGCTGAACCACTGTCTCACGACGCCGTCCGACACCGCGCGCCACGTGCGGCGCAGCCTTCAACCCGCGGAGTATAGTAACCCGTTCATCCACCTTGTGCTGCTGATGCTAGGCCAGGACCCGTTCACACGCCCGACCCTCCGCGGATTGGACCGGATGTTACACGACATCTTCCGCCACAAGCCGATTCTCCGTTTCCCCTTCGCTATCGGGCCATTCGACTTGCTGCGGCTACCGAACCCAGAGAGCGTCATAATAAATGACTTGGATCGGAACTACGTCATCAGCTCTTACTGTATACTGTGCAAGAAGAAGCGCAACAAGGGCGTATGCAGGAGCGGTGAGCACATGCTTGCCGCCTGCACACCACTGTGGGCGACGGATGAACTCTTGCCAGGGTACCCGGTCACTGGTAGGAAGCAGATGACATACCTCTTCCCCCTTGCGGGGAACCTGGATGATAAGGAGAAGCGCCGCCATATTGAGGCCGCACTGTGGGGTGAGGAGGTCGACACGAATGCCCTCCTGCAGCTGCTCGGTGGCTTTGCGGTCACGCAAGTGAGCAGACCGACGAGCATCGTCACCTGCGAGGTGCTGCTTCCGCTTCCACAGAAGGTCCTGCGCAAGAAGGAGACGTGTAACATCACGACACAGCTAAGTTTCACGGCGGCATTGTCGTGGCCGTCGCAGTGCACAGAGCAGCTCCAGCGAGAGGGGCGTATCCAGCGGGCCGTGCCAGCGCTCTTCGGCGTTCGAAACGTGCGGTGGTATTCGTGGATTCTGCCCGGGGAGAGCCTCACGTTGAACGGCAGGTCGTGGGTGCCGGCTCCAGACGGTGCCTTTGTTTTCTGGTTCAACGAAAATCTTGACCCATCGGAGTTTGACCGCTACTTCCTTGTGTGTGGCGTGCAGTCACTCACATTGCAGGCGAAGGTGGCGTGCAACGTGCTCCCTGACCGCTCCTTCAACGGCGACACCAGCGACGGCGACCCGCTGTACAACAGCCACTCCGACATTGCATCGCTGAACCTCACGAACGAGGAGCGCGAGAACCGCAGCCGGCTCCAACGCCCCGCGAATCGCAACGCGGCCAAACGCCGCAACGCAAATGTCTCCGATGTGAGCATTCCCAACGCAGTGGAACTGCGCGACGCGGCGGGGGACGACAAACCGGTGCGGCGCCGCGGCTCGAATGCAGACAGCCAGACATCCAAAAACACCACAGCACCGCTGACGGCCTCGCCGTCGCGCAAACGCCGGGCACCCAAGAAGGGCAATCCTGTTCGGATGGATTATGTAGCGGACGTCAGTCCCCAAAAACTTCAGGAATGCCCGACGAACGCGCCAAAGTTACCGTCACAACTACCGCCGATTATGTCTTCCACCATTGCGCCGGGTGAAGAAAACCTTGAATTACAGCAACAGTTCTATGACAAGAACATGCAGATCAATCGCAAACTCTCAGAAATGGTAGAAGATCGACGCAGTAGCCTTGTCGTCGACGCGAAAAATAAGCAGAAGCAACCCCCGAGCCAAGTTCCAAGGAAAGACAACGACAGCACCCTCACACCACCGGAGAAGATGCCATCAACGCTTGCTGTTCCCATCCCTGAGGTGGAAACGACGATGCCGCCACAGAGCCAGCCGGAGGACAGTCGTCTGGCCTCAACGCGGCTCGCGGTGAAGGTCTTTGGTCGCTGGTACCCGCCGCGGTGGGTGGACGCCGCCTTCCAGTCGCTTACCTTCTGCATCCCCGATACTGGCGAGCACGGTCGCCTCTCTGTTCCCGTAAAAGTGACGGAGTCGCTGCGCCTTGCTACGCACGCGACGGAGGAGGCGTTCGCCATGGCGTTCTGCGCGAATGCCGTCCCATTAATGCAGCGCAACCACCCGCATTGCGCCCTCGCTCTTCCGCCGCGTGAGGCAACAAGCATCATTCCTCACCATGCGCTGGTGTTCTATGACAAGAAACGCGAGGTGGTTGGACTTCTCGGTCTGCGCTTTGCCATCAGAAGCTACCCGAACATTGTGCTCGGTGAGTTCCCCCTCAGCTTCAAGACGCTTCCACCGCTCCCCACAACAGCGACACTCGCGAGCCAACTGGGTGCGATGTACTTCTCAGGTAACGCGGTGATTGAGGACAGCCCGTGGTCTGTCAAGGGGTTGTGCGAGAGGGATGGTGAGGGGTTGCGTCACTCACTAGAGGCCACGTCTAATAAGACATTTGGGGACTCTGCGTCCACTTCGCAGCCCCTCACCATCTCCGGGATGGGACTGACGTGCGTTGGTGACCCACGGCCGCAGTCGATTAAGAGCGACGACGATGCTCTCCCTGCCTGCTGGTTAGGGTTCGATCCTGCCACACAAATGCTCATGTTGGCGGATGTGCATCAGGAGTTGTGGCACCCGTTGTATTTCACTCCGAATTGATGTGGAGGTCATCACAAACAAAACTGAAAAAGAACCTGGGAGCCTGTTTCCCATTTCCCCCGGTGGTTTGAAGGGCGAGGGATGGTATCTTGATGAAGTGCATACTCCGGATTCATGTAGGGCTCAGTAGCAGACAAGAATTGTGGGATTGCGGCCGCCGCCGCAGTACCTTGAGCAATTGCCACTAGTATATGCATATATTTTCTCTTATTTTGGCTTTTGGGCAGTTTTCATATGGTATGTGCATTAGAGCACTAATGCTCGGTGTGCTACTGTCTGCCTCGCACTCAGCTGCAGCGACAATGGGGCGAAGGTGACGTTGAAGAGGGCGGAGAGCGTGTGATGATGATGATGTTGATGGTGATACTGAAAGAAAATACTGTAGCACAGTGGCTGCGGATGTAAAGGACAGCTGAAAAAAAGAAAAATGAAACAGCACGTGCGTATGCACCTTTGGTTTCGTTTCTTGTTCCACACACGAAGGGGGGAGATATTTTCTCACATTCGCTTCATTCATTATCTGAGTGATTTCCCGTGCTGTAGAAATGGGCAAGGCCAAGTGCGGGTGTGAGAGCGTGCTTGGGCCTCAGGGAAGGGTGTGCAATATGGGACTAGAGATGCTTTCCGTGGCTTTCCATTTGCCTTCCCTTGTGTGTGGGGCTCTGCCCCCACAACTCTTTAGATGGGCGTCTATAAAAAAATGAAAGTGAAAGGAAAAAAAAAATCGGAGCCATTTGTGCAGGAACGCAAAGAAAAACAATCGAGACTTCTGCAGGCCTGTAATTACTGCCGCGCTTTCATTGGGTGTGTATTAGTGTGTATTTTTGAGCTTCATTGCTACTTTTCGATCATCGCTGCTGTGTGTATTTCTTGACTTTTATTTTGGTGATATGTTTGCTTTCACGAGAGTCGGGGACCACGGTTGTAGTTGCTGCTACTCGTTTCACCCGCTTGTGTCGCTGCGGACACGCCGCTGTGTGCGGGTGGGTGCACACAGTGGTGCTTGCAGGTTTAGACATAGATCAGCCGTAACAGGGGAGATGGCAGAGAGATATAGAATAGAGCAAGAAGCAAAGTGAGGGATTACAGAGTAGAACGAAAGGGGAACTATCCTCTTTATGTCCTTGTGGCAACTCACTATGAAGTGTGGGATGCGATATCTATGTGGGGTTTTTGTTTGCGTGATGTGAATGCTGTGTGAATTGCATCACTGGCTTTCTCTTTTCTGCTTTATTTGTGGCGTTAGTCCAAGTCACCTCGAGTGGTATGTTTACTGCACAGTCGTCATGCCACCGCATCTGCACTTTACTGGCCCGCGGCCCCATGCGATGGGCACACGCTGAATCGTCCCTCTCTCCGCTTCTTAGTGCGATGCGGTGCTGCACCACGACGGCTACATCAGCTTCCACGGGTGAGGCACCACCGCCGCCTCCATTAACCGCATCGGAATTTGCGTCAATTGCACCGATGGTTTTGCTCCGGCAGGCACTGCAGCAACATGCCGCTGTGGGCTCGGACGGCAGCGGTGGACGCGACGTGATCAGCCGCGCCGTGTTCGATCACTACTGCCGCGAGAGCCATGTGGCCGACAGCGACGTGGCGCTTCAGCTGTTGGAGGAGTCTGGCGTCCTTGTGTCTATTTCGCACGGCGTGGCGGTGCACCTCCGGCCCGCACGGCTGCTGCAGATGTACGAGACGCTGCAGGGTGGAACGGTGGACTTCTTCGTTGAGGAGGCACGCAGGCGGGTGTCGGCGGCGGAGGTCGATGAGGAGGCGATGCGCAGCGCCCTGGAGCCGGCGTTGCGGCGCGCAGCGAAGTGGCGGCGATTCGTGTGGGGTGGCGCGCTGTGCTTCGCTGGCCTACAGCTGGCTGTCATATCGCGTCTGACGTTCTTCGACCTAGACTGGGACATCATGGAGCCAGTCTCGTACTTCATTGGGACAGGCACGTCGCTGGTGTTCTTTCTTTACTTCCTCCGTCACGGGAGATCGCACACATATGAGGACTACGACAGAACGGTGTTGCCGGCGAGAGTGAGGCGCTACGCCCCGCCTGACTTCGACTGGGAGAAGTACGAGGTGGTGTGCAGGAGGGTCGATGAGGAGCGAAGAATGCTGGAGAAGATCAGGGCGTGGGTGAAGCAGCATTGATGCAGCNTATATATATATATATATGTTCTTGTATATTTGGAATAGTGCCTGTGTGTGTGTGTGGATCGTTTCGCAACGTGTTGTCGGTGTCACGACGCTGTGTTTGGCGGCGTGAATGGACGCATCAGCGGGGGACGAGGTGGGCGGCTCCTGAGACAAGTTCAGACTTCGGTGGTTGTGCTTCCCATGGGGATGCACACAACGTGGTGCTGATTCTCTCACCACCTCCACCACCACTCATGCACACAAAAAGAAAACTGCGCTTCGCTGTGTGGCGCTTGTATATTTTATCTACGTGCTTCACGTTGTCTGGCTGTGGGGCGTGGAGGTCGGTGAAGTTCATTACTATTGCTCCCTGTTTCTTTCTTTCTCCCAAACTGTGTGTTTTGCAGCACGCACGCAACGTGCAAAAAAAAAAAGGTAGTGCCCCGCTCAAGCTTCTAGCGAGGCGGAGGGGTAAAACAGTGGCTGTTGCACGTCAGTAAAAGACGATTTTGACAAACGGCCCTGAGGTGTGAGTGTGCTTGCATACTTCACAACAACGGCAAGACTTGGACTAGCAAATTGGGTACGACAACAATGCAGCCAAGACCACTTGTTCAAGGGGGGGGCGGCGACACCAAACAAGACGTCAATGCCGCACCCGGTAACCCGCTGCACGAAGGCTCAACGCTTCTGTCGCACCGCCGCGACGACGGCCGTGCAGTGGGGCAGCGACGCTACGGGTCGACGCAGCGCACGCATCACCGGCAACCCCGCGCCACCTCCGCACCCGTGTCCCGCACGCGGCGCGTGGTGGTGGTGCGCCGGGGCGTCTCGAAGCACCATGACCTGACGGTAGCCCAGCAAACCACAAGGCTCGCGGAAGAGGCGCGCAAGACACTCTTCCACGGCAGCTTTACGTCGAGCCACGGTGCCATGTTCCCGGTGCCGCCGATGCGCCGGCCGGATAAGCCATCGTACGGCGGTGCAAAGAAGCCGCGTAGTGACGCAAACGCACCGACGGGCGAGATGCCGATGTCGCCTACATTCCGACTCGCCACGGACATTGTGGCGCCAAGCGCACTCAAGAAAGAGAAGGCGCCGCTGCTACAACCACAAGCAGAGTTGGAGAAGGAAAGTTCATTTCTTGGCGAGTGCATCGTTTTAGGGCCGCGCTCCAGCAGCGCAGATGCGCGCTCCCCGTCCAAGCGTGAGGGCACCGTGCATGTCGTGAAGGAGAAGTTCCCGCAGTCGACGCCGGACCTTATAGCGCTCCAGCGCATCCGCGTAGATCCGCCGCCGCGGCATTTGCTCTCTCAGGCGACCATTGACAAGGCAAATAAGGCCGTCTTCGGTTACGATGAGAAAAATTTCAAAATAAAGAAGATTGATGTGTTGTCCTCGACAGCGGGAGCTCAAGGCGTTGTGGCGGTCGCTGTTGAGTCACCAGAGAAGGTGCCGCTCACACGTGTCGCCGGGCCTCGCATCACCTTCGCTGAACACGTTAGTGTGAAGGGCGGTGACGTTTACACCGACGACGAAGAGGAAGGTGAAGGCGATGAGGAGGAGGAAGAGGATGCCAAACTCGAATATTGTTCTGCGTTTGTGCACCTTCTGAAGTTCGCCGTGCCGGCAGCTGTATCGATTGGTTATACTTTTGCCCTCTCTGTTGTTCCGCTTGCCTTCATTGGCAGCTATCTTGGTGAACTCCATCTATCTGGTGCATCTGTTGGATACTTTATTCTCAGCATTGTTGCGCTCTACCCAACAGTCGGGATGACCTTTGCAATGGACACGTTGTGTTCGCACGAGTACGGGCGAGACAACAATAGTCAAGAGTTGGGGCTTCTCCTGCAGCGCGGTATTATTATCAATTTGGCCTTCCTCATCCCGGACTGTATCTTCATGTATAAGCTGCCAACGCTGCTCGCGACGATATACGGCCCAGAGACCGCGGCGGTGGCAGGTGAATTCCTTCTTTATATGCCCTTCTTTATGATACCGGTGATGATATTTATAGCGTTCCATAAATTCCTATCCAACCAGATGCAGCCACAGATGCCGATGATTGCGTTGACGGCAGGGTTCATTATCACCCCGTTTTTGCAGATGTTTTTAACACCCATGGGTGTGCGATACAGCATGATCGGTATGTGCATCACGGCGTGGTGGCAGCTGTTTGTGATAGTCGCAATGACGCTGAAGAAGTCGCAGACAAGGCACACACTCGGAAGCCTTCGCTTGGTAGAGGCTGCCCGTCCGTCAGATGTGAAGGAATACCTAAAACTCGCCATTCCGAGTGCCATCTTTGTTGCAGCGGAGGCGTCTTCGTTCGACGTGAGCGTCCTGTTGTGTGCGTACTTTGGGGAGAGGGAAGGCGCAGCGTGGTCGGGTATCATGAACGTTCTTTTCATCTTCGCTGCGGCTGGAGGGGGCCTGAGTGCTGGAGCGTGTGCGAACATTGGACGCTGCGTTGGCGGCAATAAGCCTGCCACTGCCCGTATGTATGTAGAGGTCGCAATTGTGAGTGCATGCGTGATTGGTGCCATTGACTCGGCAGTTTTGTACTACTTTTTCGATTTTCTCATGTCGCTCTTCGGCACACGAGGTGGCACGCTGAAGTTGGCGCGCAAGTGTGTCGCCCTCCTGCCGTTCTTCCATATTGCCGACACGGTGCAGTTCACGTTCCAGGGCATCTTCAGCGGCCTTGGCAAGAACCACCTCGGCGCCCTCATCCTGCTGCTCTCTCTGTGGGGCGTCGGCATCCCGATGGCGGTCCTCCTCGGCGTGTACCTGCGGTTCGGCGTCGTCGGCGTGTGCCTTGGGCTGACAATCGGGCTTTGCATCGAAGCGCCGGCGATGGTGGCGGTGACGTGCCTGATGGACTACCACGCCGTGTGCGAAGCCTTCCTTCCCAGCGACCGGGACGACGACAATGAGGAGGAGGAGGAAGACGAGGAGGAGGAAGAAGACGAGGAGGAAGTGTACGTGGTGGATGAAGAAGCGATGCGGCGCTCAGGCATCCCAGTGAGTCCAGAGGACTTCGGCCAGCGGCTGGCGAAGAGGGGGCGGCGGTTTCGGGTTCCGCCACACCGCGATGCGCACAGTAACTAAGGCGTGGATGTTTTCCTATTGCCGGGCTTCTGCTCTCGTTACTGCTGCATCTTAATGGTTTTCAAATGGCGATTTGATCCTGGATCATGTGCACTTTGTGTGTGTATGTGTGTGTGTGTGTGTGCATCGTTAACCTGAAGGGGCGCTGGGTAAACAGGGTGCCTGTGGTGCGCAGTTTGCCTCGCTGTAGAATGCCTGTTCACGCATTCGGCGAAGCGGAGGCTGGACGCAGAGAATAAGTAATCTGGGGAGGTCGAGTTTGTATCAAGTTGGTGCGGCAAGGCAATTTCTGCTTCCTGAGCACTGCCAGTGCCGCTACTGCCTCCGTTATTATCATTCCCATTTCTTACTTTCCGACCGGCATGGATTACACACTGCGCCAGGCGGCAGTACAATTGAAGAAAAGAGGCAAAGAGTGTTATTTAGGATACAACTGTGGCACACAGCGAAGCACAGCAAGCAATTAACCACAACAGCACAATTATAGAAGTTTTTTTTTTCAGTGGTTCTGTTGGCCATTACACAATGCACGATTCGGCCGCAGCGTACAACAATCCGTACGGTGGCAACCACGTGGCCAACGGCTCCAACGCGCATGCTGCCGACTCTTTCACCTTCGACGCTGCCGAGCTGCTACGCGAGCAGAAGGAGTTCCTGGAGCGTGCGCAGGCCGGCGAGATTCGCGCATCACTTTTCCTTCGTCTTCGCCTGAGTGCCCAGCAGAAGCTGACAGTGCAGCGCAATCAGTTCGCGGAACGGACTGCTGCACGGAGCAGACGTTGGCCCATCTCCAATGCCGGGGCGGTTCCCGCTTCCGCGCGCACAGCATCAGCGGCAACAGCAACAGCAACAACAGAGGCTTCAAAGTTTAGTGGTGGTGAAGAGGTGGTGGTGGAAGAGGAGCCGGAAGAAGGGCAACGATGCCTGGGTTGTGCGCGGCGCTACTTCGACGCATCTTCCTTTACGCGTCATCAAAGCTGTTGCAAGGAGTACGCCGCGCTGCTGCGAAAGCGCAACAGTGACGTTGGCCTCAACGCAGCGCAGACGGCACGTGGTGTGATACCACGCCACCTGACGGTATCAACTGCAGCAGAAACAGCAACAGTCACTGCCTCGTCGGCTTTCAAAGATGAGCTGCAAGCCATACACCAGCGGCTGGAATCTTCTCGCTGCGGCTCGCCACATGCAGAAGCGACAACGGCTCGTGGGCTGGCCACAAATACGAACGGCTTGACGTCTTCGCAGAGCGATGCACAACGTCGCGGTGACGCGAGAGGACGGAACGCCACTCTTTCGCTTCGGACGGAAAGCCGAAGCACCAGCCACTCATTTTCGCTGCCATACGTCTCCACACCACAGGAAGAGCGGCGCGACGAGAGCAATGGGAGAAAGGAGCGTGAGGCATCGTCGTTATCGCGCGAGCTCACACCGCCGTCGCCTGGTTGTCAGTGGCAACAACGAACCCCGCCTTGTGGAGTGAATCAGATCGACGAAATGCCAGCCGCTGTGGCAGCTCGGCTGCCCAGCGACATGGCAGCCACAGTTATGACGCCCTTCCAGGCGGCCGCGGTCAACGGGAAGGATGATGGTGAAGGTGTTATGGGCAAAAGCGGGCAGGCACTGTCGTGCCGGCAGAGCAGCGTGGCATTCACCAGCAACAGTGGCAGTGTTGTCAACATGGGAATGGAATCGGATGAGCCACTAAAGCCGTGCCCGCATTGTGGTCGACAGTTCTTTGCCATGTCGCGGTGGCCCCGCCACGTTGCGGTCTGCGAACAACAACAACATAGGATCCCAAAGGGCGGTGGTCACCGGCAGGTGTACGATCCCCGCGGCCGTTGTTCGTCTCAGACAAACACCTGCGATAACTCGAGCTTCGGCGGCACAAGTCGGGATGCCTCGCAGCCCCTCGCATCCAGCAGGGGCAAGTCCGGTGGCGACTCGGAGAAGAAGAATACCAAGTGGCGGCGGCAGCGTGCGCAACTGCGGCAGGCGCTGCAGTTGGGAAGTGGGCGCCGGCGGGACGGCAGCAGTGGTGGTCAGGAGGAAGTGTTTGAGGACGACCGCGTGTGCTGCCCAACGTGCGGCCGACGCTTCGCTCCAGCAGCAGCCGAGCGGCACATTCCGTTCTGCAGGGAGCGTCAGGGAGGCCTCAAGTCGATGCGAATGTGATAAAAAAGGCAGCGGGACGGCACCAGACGTGAACGTAGTCGACGCATTTTATTTGGCTTACGCAAGAAGCCAGGGCACACGTATACATGCATGACATAGTTGTCAGTGGAAGGGGAAAAGGGGGGGGGGAAAGAAGTGCAGCAGCAAGGCAGAAGGGGCTTTGGGCTATTTT